ACAGTGCGATTCTGTAGATCAGACTGCCCTGGATCAGTTCTGTTCTAAAGCTATAAGCACTAGTTAAATTTGTACCAGCACCATAAGTCAGGGACGGTGTGTAAAAACAGAGAATCGTACTCCAGTTTGGAATATTTCTTTATAACCTGCCATACTGAAACCTCACAACTACGTTTTTTTTCCCATTTTGTTTTTTTTACACTATGTGAAAATACCAGCTGCGCTCTACACTGTGTGATTAGTCATGATGAATGAGCAAAAAAAAATAACTCCCAAATGACTTGGAATAAAACCATATTACATTAACATACAAAAAAGTAACGTTTTTTTTTCCTTCTCCTGCGAAGTTACCATTTTGGTGATATGAATATATCTTGTTATATATATATTTTTAGAGATTTGTAGACAATCTGACACTCAACCTCACCTTTTTTATACATCCAGTCCACTGAACTGTTAAAGCTACAGTAGTTATGAAGTAATTGATTAACTTCTAGAAGTGCCCTGACTCCTAGAGGGTTCATTTACAGTTGTAGTCCGCTTCCCTTGGTCCAGACCAAAGCAGAAAATTATACATTGCTGTATTTTCGTTCTGGTTTGCTTAGCATTCACACTGACACATTTGACAGCAAACCAAAGTCATTGATTGGGCAGACTTTATGACACGTATTTGGTGACAAAAGCTGGGGTAACATCCTATGAACTTTCTGTATCATGCTGTACTCTGGCCTACCTGAGCTTGTGGGTTTTGTGTATTGTTTTATGTCTTGTGATATTCTAGAGCAATTTTAGCCATGAGAGGCCTTGCATTGCCATCATTTTCCCACGATACTAAGCAGTGTGAAATCAAAGTGGGCAGCAAAGTGGGCAGCCTGCAAATTTTGGCGTGCACCAGCGTTCAAATGTTCTAACTTACCACACTAACAGAGCAGTTACACCAGGGTTTCACAAACCAAATCTGCTAAGTGTGAACACGGCCTGAATCCAAGGCTGCTTTCACAGATATTATTTGTTATTACTGTATTTACATATAGGTAGACGAGAGCAAGGTGTAACTTTCATGCAAAGGCTTATTATTCAGTAAGTACAGGGATTTCAATGCATATTAATAGAGCTATTCTTAGGTTATATAAGTGTGTAATAAAACTTGGCTTGTTAAGGGGTTTCATATTGTTTCTGTAGCATGGGCTGCTGCTTATAATGGTAGATGAACAATAAATGCATCCAAATGGATAGGATTATGCATTTTATCAATAATATATTTGAGGAATAGATCTGGATTTAATACAATGGTGGACTAATGACAGTTATAAAAAAAAGTTGTATTTTTGGCATAAATGAAGACAAATGTGAAAGTAATACAGTGCCTGTCTCCTTGCCAAATTCCTTAACAATCAGAGTACACTCACATGTATAATTTTGAGCTCTTTAGCTATTGTAACATGAATCCAACCGAACCAAATAAAAGATACAATGTCACCAAAACCCAAACTCTGGTATGGACTTTAGCAAACAAACTATGTGTGAAAACAGCCTAAATGTAAAACATACAAACAAGACTAGAAATGCAGTATAAACTCTACATGAGGTTTCTTTGGATTTGGAAAATGTTACCTACTACTACTAGGTACTCTGCTCTCTGAAGCTTACAGTTTCTGAAATGGAAACTTTGGTCGTGTATGTGAAGCAAATGACCTGGGACGGTATGACCCGTGTGTGTGTGTGTGTGTATGCACCCATATTCATGTACATATGCATGCACGTTTCTATGTGTGGAGGAGTGTGTGTGTACAGTATGCTAGCATATTTTTTTATGTGTACATATGTGTGCGTGTCCATATGAATGTGTGCTCCTTCTCAGGGGGTCACTCCCCCTCTGCAGTGTGTGGTTGACCGTGAGCAGTTGGGGAGAAAGACACCCCTTCAAGCCCCCTCTAACACTTCTGCCTAAGCAAATATTTATCCTCATTTCAGCAGCGCTCCATTTCAGCCCTGAGGGAACTGGGCAGCTAAAGTCCAGTCATGTAATTAAAGCGTCCAGCGCCCGCTCTTGACGCTCATCGATTTCACATATATCTCAAGCCAGGATGAAGGTGACCTGCATTGGGGTTGATGATGATTTAGTTTTTATATTAACTAAATTAACATATCGATTGATGATTGATCAGAGTTAAGCAGCCAGTCATGACATGAGGGAACTCTGGGAAGGCACGTTGTTTATGCCCTGCGTGTATGTGTGTGGTCGGGTGTGTGTATTGCAAAAAAGGGGTTGCGCTGAATTAACCTGATTCAAGTTAAGTACGAAATGTCCTGAAGTTATAGAAAAACCAGCGGTAGCTTGCAATATTAGGACTGACAAAAGGGTTTTTACTTTTTTACGCAAGTTACTTTTACGGTTACATATAGGTACTTATATATAATACATATGGGGCATATGATTGTTTTATTATTGCCTGTTGGTACTTACATATAATACATACAGGTTATATTATTATTATTGTAGGTACTACATACACAATACCATGCAAATGTTTTAGGCATCTAAGAAATTTATTTTAAAAAGCTGTTTATCTGGGTCGTAAGCTTTTATTTGCTCAGAAAAACACTAATATTACAATAAATACAACTAACATGATCACCATCGTTTAACCATTTCCAAACCTCTCCTCAAGAAGCCTGGTTTTATTTGCAGTTTAATGCCTAGTTTGGCCGATCAATACTTCATTAAATTAAATCAGGCATGCTAGAGATGGAATTGAACTAATCCATGCAGTGGCTGGGGGCACTGAGGCAAAATCTGAAGCCAAACTTTGTTCTTATTACTAGCTGGAAAGATATCAGACACTTAAAAAAAAAAAACAGAACATTCTTGTTACATTTAACATTAATATTTATCTGTGTTTATTCTAATGTTATATAGTTTTTTATTGGTATAACCACACTTACTGCAGAGATAACTCATTTTAAACACATTTGCTTAGGTAGCTAAAAATTTGCACAGTATTGTAGCTTGTTCAGAAAATGTTTTGCATGCTGCCTTTAGGTTATTTATTATGCACTGGATTATTCTGCTAAGGACTCTTATTATGGAGGATGGGGCTGGTTCCACCCAGGGGGTTATGAGCTAAGAGCTAAGAGTCAGACATGAGCTGGGTAGCAAACAAACTGTTAGTGAAGAGATAACTCTGCTTATGTACAGTGTAGCTGTGGCCAGCAACAACTGGAGAATAAAACACCAAGACTTGCAAAAGCTGCATCTCTTTAATAGTGGTGAATGCTACAGTATTTTATATATGGTATATATGACCAGTGTAATACGGTCTTAGACAGCCATGGAAACTATTTATCTCAGCAGCCAGTGTGCTGTTACTAGTAAAAACACTATGAGACATTTGACTATATACAAATAAACATAAATACTGTAAAAAGTAACAAGAATTTCTTGTTGGTTATTGATGTCTTGGTTAGAAGAATACTGTTAGAAGAACATGGGTTTGGTTCGTGACTTCTCACTGCACTCCACTCATTGTACGGATAGGTTAAATTCCATCAGCAGAACACCTGATTTAGTTAAATGAAGGGTTGACGAGATAAATAAGGTATTGGATGGTAACTGTAAACACCGGACTTCCTCGAAGAGCTTTGGAAATGGTTAATCTAACATACTCTAACATAAATTGACAATGTGTTGTTTGTTTATTTGTATTCATGTTTAGTGTTTTTTAACAAATAGATGCTTACTACCCATAATTTTCTCAGATGCCTAAGACTGTTGCACACTACTGTACGACCCCACATCCTGATTAAGTAATAAAAACAAACCTGTGTGTGTGCGTGTATCTGTATGTCTGTATGATTGTGTTCGCGTGTATTCTTTTTATTTTTTCGGACGGGGTGGGGATTTTTGTTTTTCTTCAACAAAGAGTGAAGAGTTAATATGCTGGAGACATTCCAGGAAGACTGGAGCCGTTCATCCTGTGGGGGTCCACTGCCCCCCCTAGTCTCACTGACCTCACTGTGTTCAATTGGCACTTGTTCAAGAACACAAGAACACACGTGTATGCGGCTGCAAACACACACACACACACACATGCGTACGCTCTATATTGGGTAGGCGTGCTGGAGAGAGGCTTCATTCGCATATGAGTTCAGCTGTCAGAGGCAGCCGGAGCTGCGAGAGGGAAAGGAGAAGGGGGTGGGGGGCGTTCGGGGTAAGACGGAGAGAGGAAAGCTGAGGGTGAGAGAAAGGAAGAGAGGAAGAGAGAGGGGAAGGAGCATGAAACGACTCAACACTGTCAGAAACACTGTGGATCGGCACAACAACGCAGGAAGAGAAGTGACCAAGAGGAAAGCCTGTGAAACTTTCGTTTTCTTTGTATCTGTATAGTGTTGTCTCTCTCTCTCTCCTTCCTTCTCTCTCTCTTTGGAGCCATGCGCCTTGTCCTGCACATGTAAAGCATGCTCCGGGCTGGGCTTTCACAGTAGCCTTTACCGCAGGAATCGCAGCAAAAGGCTTCTTTTCAGGAAGAGGAGAAGAAAAACGTGACACAGAGCACTAAGGCAAGAAGCAAGACTGTATGAACCTGCTGTTTTTTCTGAGGATGAATGCCAAAACCCAGATAAACTTCAGGGTTTCTAGACTGACTCAAAGTGGATTCGGTTACTCATGCCACTGTGGCTCAACTCCTTCGTTCTTCTTTTGTGACCTGTCCGAAATGGGAACCACATGTGGCTTCGATCGGGCACGGGCACATGAAAGGAAAAGGTGAAGAACGGTGCAAAACTGGAGAACAAAAGCAAAGGGAAGTGATAGGCAGAGGGAAACTATGAGTTTGCCAACTAACTGTGTCTTTCACCCTTTTGCCGACCGGGCTTTCAAAGTGCGGAACGGCAGCGTCTGTGGGTCCCCCTGTGCCGTCAACCGTCCGATTGACATCGTGCAAAAACGCAGGCGGTAATTTCATTCCCTCTTTCTTTTTAATGTCAAGATAGTTTCTGAAAAAAACATTCTGTGCAAGTAGCTGTTCCTGGTACGTCAGGAGACGGCTTCAGCCGTGCCACCTTATGTTGTGCCAGTTGCTCCTGAATGCTGTTTCTGTGGTGAGTAAAATGCCAAATAGATTTTGTGTGGTGTAGAAATAGGACTTTAAGAGACAAAAGCTTGCCATACGCATGTAAACACATTCAAATTTCCGGCACATGGCTCTGTTGCACAGGTGGAGGCAAAAGGCGCTATTCTAAAGAGAATTATTTAGGTGTCCTGTTCTTCCAGTCTTAGTAGACTAGAGTGTCCAGGTCATATATATTGAAGACTTTTAAATCCAGCTGATTTATATGCAAGGAGTGCACCACAGATCTCATGAAATTGTTCAAAGAACAAAATGATTTTTGTTAATAATAACACAAATGTCTCATAGAGTTTAGAAACAATAACCATTGCTTGAAGGAGGTAAGGTGCTCTGCTCATTTTGTGTAAACTGATGCAGTTTCACTTTATTGTTTTACATATTGTTTATGTAGGACCTAGTATATTTACAGTAGCCAACACTGTGAGTACACCAAACTCAGACTGTACTGGTAAGTACTCAGGCATGGCTTATCCTGTGTGCTAAAGCAAACTATAGCTTGTTGGTCTGAGAAGATGATGATTTTAAGACATCAGGGACAAGCAGGAAGTGAGACTTATAGCCCCCACTCTTCCTGTTCAATGTGTTAGGGTCCATCTGGGGTACTGTTTTGGCGTCAGATTTTCTGGTTTATGAACCATTGATTGTTGGGGATTAATGGGGTCTGGATTATTGGATTATTGGATTGTTAGATGTTAACACTAAAGCCTACCCACAGTGACCTGCCTGCAGGACAGTGCACTGCAAAAAAATGATACCTCAGCAAGTGAAATGATCCTAAATGTAATCTCAATATCTAATATTTACATACATCTAATAATATTTCTGTTTTTTTACTAGCTTAAAGTAATTTTATTAAGCAAAATTATCTCACTATGTTGGCAGATCAATTTGCTGAAGAAATGTGTCTGAAACAAGCAGAATTGTCTGCCTAAATAGTGAGATCATTTTGTCTAATAAGATTACTTAAAATAAGTAAAATATTAGATATTAGACTACGTTTAAGATGATTTCACTTTTGTTAATGTAGCATTTTTTTGCAGTGTGTATGTGATGGATACTTTTAGGACTTTTAATGACCATTCATTAAAATAATGAATGATTAAAGTAGATGTGAAAAACAAATATTAAGATAATAAATGAGACCAACTTTGTCTTCGGAAATAGGGCAGTAGGTTTGTGGTCCAACTAAGAACCAGACGTGATTACTTTCTGAAAAATGCATTTTATTTCTTTCAGGTCCAATAACTTGCCATGACATGCAGTCTGCAGAACACATACCTTCGTGAACTGTCATGTTCATTTCTTTTATGAGACACCTTTGTGATTTCTTGACAGGAAGTGACAGCTGATAATGTGCCCGATTTAAAGAGAGGCTTTTCCACCAAAGGAAAAGCAGCTACGTTTTAAAGCGAACCCCGACGGTATTGAACGTGCCATCTCTTAAACTTAAGACCTTCTCAAGAAATGCTGTTATATCATTTCCTGTTGTTGAAGAAGGCTGTGCCCATGCTATACAAAACAGACACCATGGGGAGCCATTTAGGCATGGATTCCTTAAAACTACAGACTATTTTCAATAGCAGGAAGCTAGCAGAATAAACACCAGGAATTGTCTTTGCATTTGTGGTTTGCGCAGATACCAGTTTGCTGTGGAATTCCTTATTAACCATGTGCATGAGTTTGGCACCACTAGTGCAAACTAGGTCCTCACTGAAGACTGCCATGGAAAATGAGTGGCACCCTAGAAACTACTGCTCATTGAAACTCAACAAGAGTCATGGCTTCAGTATTAGCTCAAATATTCCACCTCCAATAGTCAGATGAGCTGTTAATCTTAGACTAGCGCCTGTTTTTAAGTCGGGGGTAATGTAAGATTAAATAAAATACTGTCTTCAGGGTTGAGACCTCAGAATCTTATCTCTTATACATCAAACACCGCTGTGCTCATTTATCTCTGACGAGAGTGCAAACTGAGCCGCAACTGACGTCAACCCCAGAGCAGTGCATGGTGACACAGGCGTCTGTGGTCACAGCTCCTGTTAGAGGACTCAAAAGACATGTGTGCGCAGTTTGTGTGTGTGTTTTAGGCATTTTTATGAATCTAGCATTTCGTGCAAGCCGCTGTTCAAAGAGCATGTTGCCCAGAGTTTTACAACCTAGCCAAAGCTTTTAAGAGAATGGCCTTATAGCCACGTACAAGATAACCAACTTTTGTAGAGCATCAAGAATGTTTCACTTTTGCTCTTAAAGGCTTAATTCAGAGAGGAAGTGGTAGAACCTGCTTCGCCCCAGGCCCTAATCACTTGTTTATTGAAATGTCCCTATTAAACCCACATCTGCACCCCAAATCAAAGGCCTACCCTCTCTGCTCTCGACACCTACCCCAGCCTGTGCATTGAGCCTCCATGGCTGGGCACTTTGCTACTTAATTGCTTTTGCTCGGCAAGTGATGCACGCTGTCCTGTCAGGATCGATACCACGTTCCAAATAAAGCCTGGATCTGCTGAGAGCTTAATCAGGCCCAGCAGTGGGCAGAGTGGATCCGGGAGAGAGGCCGAGCTTTGGAGAACAGCTCGCGTGGAGACGGAGAAGAGGACAAGTCCCTGTGTGCTACTCGTTCTGAAGAGCGCTGCCCTCAATTATGCCATGCTCCACACAGCGGTCCACTAAGACCACCACTGGAGAGTCTATTGATTGCACCATCCCATCCCTCCTTTCCTTTCCCAAGCACCTGGTGCAAGTAGGCTATTTGTGACCAGTCTCTAGGCACTGCAAGGCTTTCTGCAATCATAGCTCTTGTTAGAACCACCTACTGTATCCCAGTGGCATCCTTCTAAACCACAAAACATCTAAACCTGTCAGGCCTTTCGCTAGTATTTGATTCTCCTTCTGTATTTCTTCATTTCACTTTCTGTTTCCACTGGCTGGCAGAACACATGATCATCCTCAGCAAAACAGGCAATTGTTTTGTGGAACCCACAGAACCCATAGCATGGAGTGGAGATTTGAAAGGCAAATGTCTCGGTCCTGACCTCATTCCGTGCCTGTCATTCATGTGTTAAAGTTTAGCATGACATGTTTTTGGTACTGAGTGTAGCAAGAGTCACCCATAGATCATGGTGTGAATCGAAGTCGTCGTCTCCAGCCCATGCTCTAAAGATAATAAGGAAACATGGCTTGAAATAAGAGCCACATACCGCAACAGACACAGGAATGATCCTCTGACAGATTTGTGAGGAAGACTTGCTGGCCACGTGGGAAAAGCGAGAGCGCCGTCTGAGGCCTGTTCCAGGACGCACACCTGGTCGCAGTCCATCATGAACCAGAGCTCTCCTTGCTTGAGACAGAAGTTAGCATAGCATACTCAGTTTCACCCCAGTCGCTGATCCCTCTAGCTGAGGCAGAGAGTCTTGCAGTTCTTTTCTCTATTGTTAAAAAAAAAATCATATAGCTGTGCTAATTTTGGTACAGTCTAGCTAGCGTATTTCTAATATTGGCATCTGAGTATCATTTCCATTGAGCACAATAGGAATATTTGTGGTGTTTTTGTTATGTCTAACAGTGATGTTTGTTGTATTAGCACCTGATTTTAAATGATTTTTTTTTTCCTTAAGAATATGAGTGATTATATTAAGGCACTTGAGAAAATAACTCTTATGACGTAATAAGCTGAATTTTTGAGAAAGTAGGTAATGATGTTGAGATACTAAGTCAAAGTCTTGAGAAAATAAGTCATTCTTATGACATAAGCCAAAATTTTGTAGATTTTTTGTATTTGTAGATACTCAGTCAAAATCTTCAGAATAAAAGTAATTCTTTATGACAATCTGAAAGTTTGAGAAAATCATTATTTTGAGATAAAAAGTAAATCCACATAATAAGTCATAATCTTTATAATTAGCCGTCAGAAATCAAGAGAAGAAAAAATATGCAATTTTGTCCACCTTTATCTGGTGGAAATGGGCTTTTGTAAGTGACCATTTTAGTGCAGGATGATCAGATTGCACAAAAAGTATAACATTGTTTACACAGTTAGCTTTCATTTGAATAAAAAGCGGAAGAGCAAAAGCGTATGTTTGCAAGACATGTGATATACTTTCTTTCTAGCAGTGAGGAGGCAGGTCTACCAGACTTCTGAGTAGTACTTCTGCTATGAGACAACGTCATGCTTAGCGCAAGCATTGATGGCAAAACCCTTTGGAATACCCAGCAATGGCATCCTACAGGTCTGTCTGTACATTTGAATCATGTTCAGACTTGCATTTCTGGGAAGTTTAGCAGTGTGTTGGTGAGGCAGGCAGTGGGGAGAGGGTGGCAGTTATTATATTCTCCTTTTGAGTATATTTTTTCATTCTTTAACATTGTCTTCCACAATGTTTTCAGTGTTAACAGGTGATATTGTGTGAATTGTAACCTATTGGAAAACTGACTTTTTAGAATAAAACACCTGCCATTTACTGTTGTTCACATTTTTTATAACTTGTACTCTCTTGTAAGATGGTGGTATACAAGGGAAAGTGGATTTCAGGGATTTTTTCACTGATAGCATATTGATGTCATTCATACAGTATTCAATACCATACAGTAAAATGTCCCCCAGGCAAAGAGTGGATGATTTTGTTAAGGCTTGCCTACATGCAGGCAAGATGTACAGGATAGTAGGCTGTACAGACCACCAAACAGAAAGCCCCTTACCTCATCCCTTGACACAGCACTGGTAGTCATGGGAAGCCAGCTCAGATTCTTACATGTTTTTCTGTTGGCAATAATTTTTATTCTTCATTCTACGGCGCTCTAACTGTAACAGAAGGTCACAGAACCCACATATGAAGCGTATGTGAACTTAATTTACCGTTGGTGTTTAGTTTCTGCATATGACAAAGAGGCAGCTTTTTTCTTTTTTTTCTTTTCTCGGTTATCCCCTGGAAGTTGTTGAAGTTGTTCTTTAATGATAACATCTGCCTCTCAGACCGACATGAAAAGAGGTCTCTGTCACCCCATCCCCCGCACCAGTGTAGCACTGCAACTGGCAATCACACTGGAACAAGTAGGATGTTCCAAATTCACTTTTCAGCTGACGGGCAAGCTTTAATTCCTAAAAAGCGGCTGCTTGAAGTACTTCAATGATTTCAAGTGAAGTGTCATGTGTTTTTGTTTTCTTTTATCTGTCAGATCGTCCTCGTTGTGTAGTGTTTGTTAATAGAGCACTCTTGGCTGGAGAAAACGGTTTACACTAACATCTAGCACAGGAACTATAGGAAGGAGAAGTGTTACTTCCTGTGATGTCAGAAAACATTTAGTCCTCACTGGGTTCATGACCTCAAGCCCCCCTTCGTGACAAGCTGGTCTGTAAAATATATATATGTATATTTGAGAGACAGCTGATATGATTACACTGATATAAAGTAGGCTGGCTTTTGTGGCTTATTCTCACAACATTCTGTATACATTGAGTAAATTTAGGGAAAAGGGACATTGCGATATTTTAGGTTTTTGCGATAATTGAAAAACAAAAAAGGAGTAAAACACCCAGATAAACTATTTCCAACTGGCGACATCGTCTTAGCAATTTGTGCATTTAGAGGGGAAATTGAGGCAGTAGTAGGACAAATTACCATATTGTAATCATATTGCTACATATTGTGATTTTGTTACAGCTTCCATTATATTGTAGCACATTAGGGAACGCTTGATGTGACATGCTTAAAGACTGGTCTCAAGACAGGTACCCACTTTGGGATCCAGTCCAGCTGTGCCATGTGCCTTTAGTACTTAGGGAATGCAATTGGTCATATTCCTATTAAAGTATTGATCTCTGGCTGGCCATCTAGCCAGTCATGTAGTAAAGTCCAGTGAGAATTGGACCAAATTGACTAAATTTTGCATAGCGTGCTTCATTGACTTCACAAAGCATCATTTCTCGGTTCAAAAGAGTATAGCAATAACCAGTTCAGAAAGACTTGATGACTGTTTTTTCCTTAACTTTATCTTTCCTAACATGTTTTCAGCAATCTATTCAGAAATTCACCATACTAAAATCTGCCCCTGGAAAGGGTTGCATGCCCACATGGTTAAAATAACCATAGTTAAAATGGATCAGCATGTGGATTTGGGGTTTTCTGTGTGCTACAGTTTTTTGTATCACTATACAAAAGAAGCATTTTGCTGCATTTGTGTTGGATGCACATTTAGAACAGAACTTAGATGTAAGGGCTGGTTATTGGTTTGAAAAAGTGACTTAAATGTGTAGTATATTCCAACACATTTGTTTAAATATCAAAATAAATATAACAATAGCATTGACAAATTACATTATTAAAAGAGAAGAGTAGGTTAATAGGCAGCAATAGCTGCATTTTTGACATTAAAGGGTTAATGCAACATACAGTTTAGGATAAATATAGAAGTGATTTCTGATGCTGATGCATGCATGTGTGTATATGAATGGGGAAGACACTGCATTGCCAGTAGGCTTGGAGCATGCTTCACCTGAGAGGCTATAAATAGCCCAGTCTGCTCCATGTGCTATTTATATCCCTCCACATTCTGACTTCCACTGGAGCACTGTACAGCCTTCTACGTCATCATGCTCACATCACCTTCATCAAAATTCCCTTTGAGTGGCAGATGAAGACTCCAGAGGAGGCAAAGAAGAGATAGGGCTTGTTTGATTTTGGCCCCTCCCCATTTCGGTGAGCCCCAGTGCAGTCTTGACACGCGCCTATGTGCGTCACCGCAGCGACAGCGGCTCCCCACTGCATCCTTATTGGCTCTTCACCCAGCCGCTCACTTTCCTCATGAATTGAGTAGCCTCATTCAGCGCTGATTATGTAACATTCACACTTCATTTAACGGTGGGTGCCACCGCTGGACCTCCAATGAGTGCTAAAGATAGATGTGTGGTGTATCATAGTTGAAGTGGGATGGGCTGAGAAAGACGGCTAGAAGCATTGCATCCCACCCAACCTCAAATTGCACAGTGTAGTATTGAGTACAGTATGTCGGTCCAAAATCATACCATTTTCCAACCTTCCTATGAAGGAGAAAACCGCAGCATAGCAGTTTGTGGGGGAAAAATCAGCATACAGAATCAGAACTCCTTCAAATAAGATGATGTGAATAGGCTTAAATGCACAGCTTCATCTATAGCTTCCACTGCTGTTTTTCTGTGTAGTGCGGCATCTATGTGAAAGGTGATGATCTAATTGTTTCCCTCTCTCTCTTTGTTTGTTTTCTCTCTGCTCTGTTTCAGTTTCGATGTGGAGAATGGACTGTCAGCAGGACGTGCGCTGGACTCTCAGGTCAGCCCCAGCTCTGGCCTGGTCCTACAGGCCACTTTCCCCCACAGCCAGCGGCGCGAGTCCTTCTTGTACCGCTCCGACTCAGACTTTGACCTTTCCCCCAAGGCCATGTCCAGAAATTCCTCCACTGCCAGTGAGCTGTAAGTACTGGACCTTCACCATCTCCAAGACTGAACTGATGCAGCATGACCATTGTTATACAGAGAGTGTATTCCGTCATGATTCCATGATGCACTACCATTGCAGAGTTTCAAATCACTTGTCATATTGTTTTTTATTTTTTACACAATTTATACAGTGTAGGTTGAAATATTTTACCTAGCCACCTATTTTTTAAAAGTTTTACTAAATATTTCAAGTATTGGGAACAAAAATGATAAATAGTACAAGTAATTTGCCTTAAGATTTAATCACCACTTTTCAAATATGAGGCATTCTGCATATTAATTTTATTATAATGTCATTCTTGATGCTGTTCCACTTTGTCAGTCATTTTAGAGCCATCTACATCTCCATTCAACATTCTGAAAACATCTAAAATACTTAGATTTTCCTACATTCCAACAACTAACTGCCTAGTTTATTGACACCATTCATTTCACTTCTGAATAGTGATTCCAAACTTTTGAAGAGTACTGTATAATGACCAATATTTGAGAGGCCAAGTCCAGTCCAGTTATTAAAGTGTGCAAAGTCAGATTTTTCAACAATGATGTTATGATAGCCTGGAATATAAAACTGGCATGTTACATTTCAAAGGAAAGACGTACCTACTGCTTTTACTATCTTTCTGTTTTCCCATCCTCGTCATCATTGACATTGTGCTGACGTCCATGTCGTTTTGCCCAAACATCCCAGTTAGGTCATCAGACTCTTCTTTTGTTTTTTTCTTAAGGGAAGAGGGCTTGAAACAGTGGGAAGTCAGTTGCCTGCCTCGGTGAGATAAGCGCGTGGCAACTTTATTTTACTTTAACAAACTGCTCCAAACATGTGTGCTCCCTTCCCCACCATCACTCAGATCCTCTCACATATGCCTATCCTTAAACCTGTCTAATTCACCAAAGCTCAAAAAATGCCATCCTGATTTAGGAGGATTTCATATGATGCATGTACCCTGATATTTCTCCTCATTATTAAAAAATCCCATGTGCATGACCCACAGTTTAAACGGTATGAGCCAACAGCTTCAGTTTACAAGACTGAACCCATTTTTTGGGTAAAGCTTACCCACCCACCATGAAAGCGGGTGGATAGATTTTACGGTCATCATGATAGTTAGTCATGGGTAATGGGGTCCCATTAATAGTGGTTGGCCGATAGTATTGGCCAATATTGAGATTTCTCCTCATATGTCTCATATGTCACAGCAATACAGGCTGAACAAGTACATTTGTATACAATATCATCATAGTTAAAATAACAAAAAACATTTGATTTTAAATCTAAACTAGACCTGAGGTTATAACATAAGAGCTTATTGCATGAAGAGAACTTATAAAACAAAAAAACAAGACACCATTAACAGAAACCCAAACTGCAAAGAATGCAAGAACACTCTGCCCACTATGCAGTAAGTATAAACTTTTGGAGGATAAAATTATAAAATGTGGAAGTATATTGGCTGATATTATTGGTTGTTGGAATATTTGCCCGCCCCTTAAAATCAATATCGGTAACAGTGTTCGTATTGGTCATGCCAAAATAGTTACACATTTTGAATGTACAGAAATTCGCAATAGTCTTATACAAGTCAATAGGATATTTGTCACTGTTTTTCACTGGCTTTGACACAGTGTTTGTGTATCATGAAGGTGGTATGTAGTACTCATGTCTTGTAAACTGAAGCTCTCCATTTGTTTCCCCCTCACCACTCCCTCTGAACTTTGCAGTTTGCACAGTGAGTCCAGCCGTGCTGCAGTGCTATTGGATTAGTCATATTCTGAGCCTGTGGGAAGGATACTATGTTGTGGTTTAGAGTATAAACTAACCTCTGTACATGAGGTTGGGCTCTGCAGGCCACTGTTCTGCATAACTCCCCACTCAAAACAGTATTCGGAATTGCTGGCCCTGTGAAGCTGAAAATACCAAAACATCCTCAACATACTAAGAAATGGAGTGTCATGCTCCTGACCTTTCTTAGGAACTTAGTCACCAATTTTCTCTCTTATTTCAGACATGGAGAAGACATGATTGTAACACCTTTTGCACAGGTTAGTGAGGTTTTACGACACCCCTGCTTAGATACAGTGGTCACCAGCTTTGTTTGTTGGCAGTTATATTGGTTGGCCATCAGTATTGTGTTACCACATATCCTACAGACTGAAAGTGATGCATTTTCACTTGAATCCAATGTGTACATCATTTCCATAGAAGAAAAATACATTACATTGACAAATTATTGCCAACAGTAAATAAACAATACAGTAATAGTCATGCTGATGTAAAAACGATGAACACATTTGAATTAAGTTAATTCAAAGCAACACTTTCTTCAGTGCAAGTGCTGCAAACAGCCATACAGAAAATGCCTCCATGTGTAAGACTGAACTAATACGCCAACCTTGGTTTCTCTTAGGTTCTGGCCAGTCTGCGAACAGTGCGGAGCAACTTTGCAGCTTTAACTCATCTGCAGGATCGGGGTGGTTGCAAGTAAGACATTCATCAGACTGTGATGTCCAAGCCCTTCTAGCCACTGACAGAATGGAAGGAATTCTGGAGATTGTTGCGCCAGCAATGGCATTGGACCACCTTCTTGGAACTTACCGCCTTTTTTCTTCTCTTTTCTGTTAGACGGCCATCAGGCAGCAATCCTCCCTCCATGTGCAAGCCAGGCTTACCAGGTCAGTGCTAAGGGATTTGGCACTATCACTAGATAGTGGAACACTGGACCTATTTTGTAAACAGTGCTGGAAGGTTTGGGTAAAAATACAACGCCCCAATTGGCAGCAGTAAACTGCACTGAGAGCCAAAGTGAGCCAGTACAGAATGAACAGTATGTACCATCATGCAATTCAGTAATAAACCAGTGAAATAAGTTTATAGGCTCAAGTGCTTGTGAAGCTTGCTTATTCATTCTTCTGTTGCTCCTCTCACTCTCTCTGCATCGTGTGGGGTGAGGCCGATCACGAACGTAAACCGGGATCACGGTTGCTATGGCAACCCGGGACGGGTACTGTATTAGAGTACCCCCGAGTTTTCTCAGGCAACCAAAAAGAAGGGCAGGACTGAGTGTCAGTGATGGCATTAAGAAGAATTTGATGACAGTAAACACCAACAACAGTTCGATTATATACTGTTGATAGTTTATGTACATGTACATGTAGTTTATGTGTCATTAAAAGTTTTAATATTTTCCATATTTAAAAGATCTTTAAATCTTATCATTGCAAATTTTATTAAAAGACCCCTACAAAAAACACTTTAGTATTACAAATTGTAATATAAATATGCAATGTTTATGCCATTGGTGCTGCAACAGGGGATTCTCAGTGGAACAAGCTGAAGTATAGGGAGATGTTTTTGTTGCCTGGCTGTTTTTAGATCAGTACCTGTCATTTTGCAGATGACACGTATCAGAAGTTGGCCATTGAGACATTGGAGGAGCTGGACTGGTGTCTGGACCAGCTGGAGACCCTGCAGACCCGCCACTCGGTCAGCGAGATGGCTTCTAACAAGGTATACTATACATTTGCACTTTTTCATTTACCCCACACTCTTATCCGGAGGGACTCACAAGATGTCAGTGGCCACACTGAAAAAAGTAATGCATTACATTCCCTTGATTGAACTGTGTATATTAATAATCAGTGAAATATATTACATCAAATTGAAGATACAAATGCATCTACACAATTTTGTGTTTTGGTTTACTTACAAACCTTAATTTCAAAAAAGGTTGAGAGCATGTGCAGAAAGCAGTGATTAAATACTTTGACTTGTATTTAAACAAAAACAGCAAAAATATGTTTAAGATTTTACCTCAGCTTCATTGTTTGTGTAGATATATGCTGATTCTGAAATTGATGCCTGCAACACATTCCAAAGAAGTTGGGGGGAAAAATAAAAGGGCCATTTGGATTGTTACCAGCATAAAGTTCAAAATCCAGGGTTTATCATGATATGGGAGTATATTAGTTCCCATGTCATAGGTAGTTTGCACATCTTTGAAGGCACCATTAATGCTGAAAAATATATACATATTTTGGAGTAACACATTTCAAGGATGTGCTTGCTTTTTCCTGTCTGCAGTCCAGATCTATCTCCCATTGAAAGGTTGTTTACATTATGAAGCACAGAATACAACAATGAAAGCCCCGTATGGCTGTACAGCTGAAGATTTGTGTTATGGAAGAAAGACAAAAAATTCAGCTTTCAAAACTGAATCAGTTGATGTCATTAGGTCCAAAACAGTAAACTTGTCTCTTGTTGTTGGAATATGTTGTAGGCAGTACATTTTGAATAAGCATATATTTACAAAAAAATCAATAAATAAACAAAATTAATTAGGTAAAACATCAAACACTGTGTTTGTTCTGTTTTTAAATCAAATACAGGACAAGCAGAATTTACTAAGCACTGCTTTGTGTTTTCAGTAGCATTTCACATACTGTCACAAACGTGTTGAGCCTTGAAGACTGTACTTTTGGCAATAATTATGTTAATGTGACATGTTTTCTTCACGTACACATTTAATCAAGTAAATTTAATGCGTTACTTCTTTCAGAGCAAGGGCCCTGTCACAGCTTCATTTAAATAATGACACATAAATGTAGACCTTGAGGACAAATAATATCACATTCAGAGGGGAGGGCAAAACATGCAGTATTTTAATATCAGTCCATTTTAACTGTAAAATTAAGAACTTTTCATTTTTATGTTGTACTTCATGGAAAACAAGCTACATCAACACCACACCAACTAATTTGTGAATGTTTACACAGTGACTGAATTAACGTCACTGTATTTTTTGTTGTTGAATATGGACGCTAGGCTTGGGCACGCGTGTAGCTATTTTTTAACATCGGTAGCGTTCCTATTTTTGGACCGACCACATTTGCATTGGCTCGAGTCTGCAAGTGCCCATCCCCCTCCCTGCTTCTTTGCACATGCAAACGCTAACACACTACACACATACACAAAGTGCACCTCCCCAGTCGTGTGCTGGGAAATGTGAATGAGCACAGCAGTGTGGATCTGATGTCATGAGAGACCACCACACACGCTTTGATTGGCTCTCTCAGAGACTGCATGGCTCCTTCATTGAACGGCCGTGTGTGTGGAACTCCTTGACTCTGAAGCACGCGCTTCAACACAAGCATGCATGCAGCGGGGTGGGGATGAAGAGGGTATTCATTTAAAATGATTTGGTGCTATAAATAGGCCCCCAACACAACTCATCCATGCGCATCCTGAAATTCACAGAAATGTGTCAAGCACCCTGACTGTATCTCAAGCCAATAGAGGGCAAATGTTAGATGACAATTTTAGTGATTGCCCAGTTCAATCACTGAGATTTAAACAAAGTTATTCAGAGCGGTTTGATGCGAAATGATAGAGAAACAAACCAAATTTCTTTACAATGGTAGTGATAGGGGGCTCAGTGATAGGGGTGACTCAGGGGTTACAATGTTTTCAGTGCAAATGTAGCAAACATAACCAGTTAATGTTAACATGTCCCCAGAGTTTTTATTTTTAGTGCTGAGTACTTTTACACTATAAATGTATTTTTAAAAATACATTTAAAATTATTCAGGTATTCCTGTTTAAATTTCTACATTTTTATTTATATCTCCTTTATTTATATCTGCCTTGATGCAAGGAGATATAACTACAGAATAACTACTTGAGCTGAATGATATTCTGAAAAAGTCTTGTTGCAGTACTTCTAGGGTTTTTGTGATAAATGTGCTAAATGTTCAAACATACCAAGATAAAATGTTCCTCAGTAGAGCTAATTATCAGCAATGGAAAGGGTGCAATACGGCAAAAATCGAGTATTCTGAGGATCCATGAATGCTTGATGTGATGCAGTGCATTGCAAAAAAAAAATCATCTTGGCAAGTCAGATAATCTTAAATCTAGTCAGTTTTGTCTAAAATTTCTCCTTGTGAGGCTGTTGTGAGAATATTCAATATGTTTTGACATTTTTTATTGGCAATAATGAAATGGTCTTGTTGCATCAGCAGATAATTGCACTAGTTTTCAAGAAATAATGCTTATAATCTATCTAATAATCTCATAATGAGAAATATTAGATATATTCAGTACATTTAAGATGAATTTCATTTGCCAAGATAACATTTTTGTAATGTGAAAGTGATTTTGATTCCTGTTTCTAAAAGGCCTGATTCATCTACAGAGAACACACAGAACATCTGAGATTGGTCAGGATGCTCACAGTGCACAATAAAGCTTTTGATGTATGGCTGCAGGCTTATTTGCATATTGCACTGTTTTGCGGTATCTGTGTAACAAAGGATGATATCAAGATAATGATTAATGACAAGTGACATATTGCAAATATAGTGACAGTCTCAGCACTGCTGTTTGTATTTATTTTTAATTCATTCTCAGTCATTGTATAGCATTGTAAAACAGTCATTGAGGTTGCCACCTCAGTCTCGTAAAATTTCTGGACACTCGATCTGGACCCCAAAATCCTGAAGATGTTAAGAGGGACGTCCCAGTTTGGTAGTTTGGTTACAATGCTTGTATCACTAAAGATCTTGGCACTAAACTTCATACTAAATTTAGTGGATAGATGGTTATGCTCATATCACTGTGAGTCAGACAGACCAAACAGTTATCCCTGAATAGAAGATAATCTAAACCATTTAAACCTATTCTTTTTATCAAATATTGTTTGACTTGTATCAAAATATACACCATAAGCGGTTTAAACATCATAATCATAAACATCATAATAAATATTAAAGTATGAAAATACTCTGGGAGATGTTCTGTCCAGGAATGCAATTCATTCATGACCAAAATCCAGGACAATCCAGGAAAATCTTGAATGGGTGGCAAAACCTGCCCTCTTAACATCTTATCTGGCCATGGACAACAGGTACAGTTCTGTGATACTCTTTATTAATGGACACTGATCCTGACAAATGAATTAATAAAAAAAATAATAGCTCAAGCTCATCATACTTTAACAAAACCTGCTCTAATCTTAAATTAATTTTAGTTCATTCTTGCACTCCATGAATGGAGCTGTGCTTCTGCTTCACTCGGCCCGTTTTACACACATGTATGCAAGGCACGCACATACACACACATACGCACACGCACCAGGCCCCACGTGCATATACACACCTCCCTCTTTGCTCGCTGACCAATCGGATACTGCGTTCAGGCTCAGCCTCTGTTGTCAGGAGCGGCTGATTGGAAGCTGTCCAGCATGCAGTGTAAAGCTGAGGAGGGGGGACGCGGTCTTCATAGTACTCTCTCAATCTCTGTATTTACACACACTGCAGGAAAATGCTGCATCCCTGCACGCTGCCTCAAAGTAGACATGAAGAGTCTGTGCTTTTGATGCTTTGGTCCATTCATTGCTGCTGGAGCACCTGGTGTTTTCCTTTGTATTCATCTCGGATTACCTGCGCCGTCAGACCGCAGCGGAATTCCAAAGATATGACTCTATAAGGTGGTCTTTACTGAATAGCCTCGCGTGCAGTCTGCTCTCAGCATGGCTTCACATGTGTCTAAGTGCCACAGGCTTACCTTTTGTTCTCCGCAACTCAGACTTTCACACTGGTAAGTGCTGTAGTGGCTTGTGCCATGCTCTGGTACGACCTCTTCTGAAGTAAAGTGAGGTTAGAAAAATAAACGTCAAGCTCCAGTGCACTTTATTTAAACCAAAGCTTGAATACATCTGTAAGCTTTTATGTCATGGGCAAGCATCAGGGTTGCCTTAGTGGAAAAAAGGACAGGGCTCGATGCCGCACCCTTGAAGCAGACCCAAGTGTTGCTCAACAAGTCTAGCATCATAGCATGCAAAAACTCAACAACTTGCTAAGAGAAATCTTGTATGTATGTTTATGGCACTGAACAGTATTTGAAAGTATCCATATATATTGTATCACAGATATCTCTTTATATATGTACATCATTTATGATATTTTCATGACAGCATGTACAGTAATGCAGAAACATTAGAGATGAACTGATTCTAGAGATCACACTGGGCTGTGTGATGTCATGTTGTTGGCTGTGCATTTCTTCTAGGTACTTTGAGCTTGATAGGCTGCTTTTAGATGCTTTTAGAAGTCTTGAGTGAAGTGATTCGGTATCATTGTTTTTATATCGGCATTGGACAAGAAGTAATACTGTGCCATCTCTAAACAATATTTATGTGCATGTGTTGTCATATTTTAGCTCTTTCTGGGTATCAAATGTTTATGAAATTATGGAAATATTAACATTTTGACATTGTGTGTACAATGTGGGGAAAAAATATATTTTTTTTGCTTTACAATGTTTGCAACTTTTCTTTAAAGGACTAGAAGAGCCTAAAGATGGCCTTTTTGGTTCCTGTTGACAAAACATTGTATAGCTACAGCAAGAAGTCAAGGGAAATCCATCACAGAGGATGGAATGCAAACTTGTATGTGTGTGAGTGCGTGTGCGCCCCTAGTTGTACGACTTCCCTCTCGTAGCCACATGCCTGATTACATAACAGCCTCTGCAGAGATGCAGGAGGTTCATTCATTGAGCAGGCATTCCTCTCAGACGCCCGTCGCGTCTGAATAAAGAGTCTTGCCTCCACGTATAGCCGCCGCTGTGTACATACAGGCAGCAAGTGCTCTGCTGCTTCTCTTCGCTTACAGCTCCTAAAGTACCTCCAACAGTAGGTTCTGGTCAAACTACTACTTGATCAGAAACTACTGTTGTAAGTCTAAATGTACATTTAGGATGCATGTCACAGCCTCGTCTTCCAACACTGAGGAATTGATTAAAGAAACACTTTTTCAACCTCTCTGTATCTGCATTATCTGTAGTAACTCAAAAAAAAGTAATCCATTACTTATTACGTCTCTTAAACTGTGCTGTGCTTACTCATTACTTCCTGGTAAAAGTCATTTCACTACTCATTACTTTACGTATATGTTCTTCTGTGAATCCCACACAAATCTGTATCAACTGGACAAGTGTATAAACAATAGTCCTTTCAGTAATTTATGCTGACAGAAATAGCCAATCACAGTAAACATCATTTAAAAAGCCTGCCACTATCCCTGCCTTTACTCTGAACAAGACCTGTAGTTGTGCTTAATTAAAATCATGAACAGCTAATGCTGTTCAAGAACCAAGAAACTAGCTAGTAGAAACAGTTCAAAAACAGCTGCCTTCAAATGAGATATTTATGAATAAAATATTATGCTTACAGAGCTGTTTCTGAATAAATCTGGCCTGTTTAGGTGAGGGTGGGGCACAGCTATCTTTAGCCATCAGTTTCATATTAGAATACTCACTGCTCACATTCACAATCAGCTGTCATAGGTCACACGCACACACAAATTATGTAAAAAGAACAAGCACAGATAATCTATATAGAGGAAATGTACGATTTTACCGTTGTTAATATTGTTCTCTAAGAAATGTCTAAATAAAACAAAAAGCATATTTCTTATTAAGTCAGTAAGTGTAATGTGATTACAGGACTTTAAACAGTAATGTGCTGCACTACGGAAAAAATAATCACATTTAACTACCGTTGCAATCATTTTAATGCACTTATATAGTTTATAAAATAACAGAAAACCCACTGACCCTTATGCTTAAGCATGTCCCCATTGGCTTCTATTATAAGTGTTCATAGAAGAAATTAAGTGCTGGAGAATTACTGTCTGTACACTACAGGTGCAGCAAATAGGGATCAGGTTGAGAAACACTATTCCTTTAATGCCAACAGCAGGGCTTGTGCCCTCAAGCAAGTCTTTTAATCTCAGAGGACTGCCAGCAGAATTGCACCTGGCATAAGTAAAAACACTGGCTAAATTGCTGTATGGCAATGCACCAATAAAGAGTATATGAACCTACCTTAACTATGCCTCAAATCAAGCAGCGGAAGCAGTAACACAAACAATGGAAGCCAGTCTTATGGAAAGTGCATTTTCTTCAATGTGTAGCATGTTTTGTGTTCCATGCAAGTTTAGCAAAGCTGAAACTTTTCATAGAATTTGTTTGTTAGTTTTGTGCGAATACATAGTACAGCACCCACTGAACAAGATAATACTTAATAGTTGATTCCAATGTATTCATCATTTCCACATGAATAAACATCAACACATATTTGTGTTTCAGTTTACTTGCTTTGTGCATTAATTTTATTCATGATATACATTTCATTCATATATACACTGTCAGATGGTCCAAATAATTGGTGCAGAGGAGTTAATTGCGTGGGATCTCTATTTAATTCTAACAAGAACACATTATTTTCTCTTTCAGCTGGTTCAAACATGATTATCGCTCCTAATTACCTTTCTGCTGATGAATTGTCCGTAATTGAAGTGTAACTAATCCGTTGTTGTGGAATGTGTGTTCTGTGTGCAGTTCAAAAGGATGCTGAACCGAGAGCTGACGCATCTGTCAGAGACGAGCCGCTCAGGAAACCAAGTGTCAGAGTTCATAGCAAGCACATTTTTAGGTGAGTCTCAACATGATTTGCACCAGTCAAAGGCCTGATTATGATGTATTCAATTCATTTGTTACTGGGATGTTAATTTGTTTTGCACATTATAAAAGCCAGCAAAATGCAAGTGATTCGTATGAAGAACGTTCAGTATTTGTAGGAATAAAGTACACATAAAAAAAATGGTTACATGGTTTAAAAGTGTGAAGTGGTTGCAAATGAATTAAATGTATTATATTGGAACCAGTTATTTCATATTTATTTCATATGCAACTGCTTGACACAGTTAAATCATGAACCATCTTTCAGCCCAAGCGATAAAACACTAGAAGGAGACGAGAACGTACATTATTATGAATAACATCTTAGCTGTGATTCGGTCCCTGTAGATCATCACAGCTGTGATGTTATTCATGATAATGCGACTTAGGTGTTCAATTAATTCTATCCAGCTCTGCAAAGAAAAAAATAAAGCTTAAAAAAATGAACCCCAAAAATGTCTAAAATGTGTTTTAATATTGTCAGTTCCTCCCACCAAAAAAGCCCTTTGCTGTTGTACAGATAGAGCCGTAAAACTGTTGCAATACCTTGATCAGCTCAGCTCAGCTTTTCAATACGTTCCTGTCTGTAAAGCATTTTACAGCCCTTCTTGTTTGATGAATTTTATTGTTTTTTAGCTAATTGGAATTATACATCCATTTACTGTTTTTGAATGTGCTACAGTAGAAATGTAACAGCTGCAGCATAAAGTGAGTCTTTACTTAGCAACCATTGCTTAGCGGTATGATAGTTATTGTGAAAAAAACATTTATGCTTCTTAACCAATCAGATTCTGCCATGGGAACTAACTGTTGTATAAATGGATACAGACAGTGGGAAGTGTTAATGAAAACAAACTGCCCCTAATTACCATAAATGGTGCTACTGGTGGCTACCAATCTTCCAATCGCTATTAGCCACATTATAGGCTATGAAGTTATAGCTCTAAAATTTTATGAGGTGTCAGATACTTTGCCTACACTTGAATTAAAGCATCCTAAGTGTCAATATGCGAAGTGCTGTTCATATTTATGTTCTGTGAGCGTGTCCATATTTGCACACAAGCGTTTTCGAGTTCACGTGTCTGCATACAGAAACGCCTGCTTAAAGGACCTTACCTGTATATCATCCTGCTAGCAGTGTATCAGCAAATATCATAGAGCACGTAGGTGTGGGAAAACAGAGCAGTGCTTTCAAAGGATGGAAACATTCCTCGACACATTGTCTTTAGTTGCCATGGGGACTGTAATATTGCCATCGGGCTGTGTGTGCATCAGCGTGTGTTTAAGTAATATTGTGACAGGGGAGAGCTGTGCTGAAAAGAGAGCAACCAAACAGTATAGAAACCTATTATTTTTACGTTTTTAATATACCTGGATAAGAAATCTGTGACAGTGGGTTGTAACAAGAGGAAAATATGCAAGCCTGGTGAGAAGAATTTGCCTGGTTACTTATATTTTCATTATTGCTTTGTGACAGCCAGCATTCCAGGAATAATCTGACATTTTAATTGAGTGTTCTGTCATTGTTGTTATATCAAAGTCTTGTAAATGCATTTATTTCTTTTTTTTACACTTCTGGGCAATATCAGCTGCCTTTTATATTGCATGAGTATTTTATTAATGGACCAACAGAAATGACGTTTCACATTAACTTACACTAAATTTAAGTTCCTTATCCTATAAAGTTGGCATTTCAGAGATCCAAGGTGTTGTTACGACAGTGACTGTCTGCATGTACCGTCATAGTCATTGCTGTAATTGTTCGTGAATGTGTTACAGAAAAGCAGCATGATGTGGAGATACTGTCACCGCCAACGAAGGAGAAGGAGAAGAAGCGGCGGCCCATGTCTCAGATCAGCGGTGTGAAGAAGCTGACGCACAGCCCCAGTCTGGCCCCCAGCTGCATCCCTCGCTTCGGGGTCAGCACCGAGCACGAGAGCCTCCTGGCCAAGGTCAGTCTGTCCACACATTCTCCTGTTGCTACACACAGCACCAGGTTTCTTAGCACCAGATTTAAGCTAAAGATGAGCTTGATTCTCCTTTGAGAAGTTCTGTAAAGGATTAAAGTGTCAGCAAAATGTCACATTTTCACAATTTTCCCCTGGCACTCGAGCTACAGAGCAAATGAAGCTAACAAGCAATGGTGGATTATACCATTATACCATTACCATTGACAGAATTCTGGTTTAAAAGTACCTGCTACTGTTGTTGTTAGCTATGTGATGTACTTTTGTCCATTTTTATAATAACATACAGTGTCAGAAACTGCATAACACTGCTGTCGGACCAAAACCTCGTATCTCCAAAATGGTAACTTTAGAGGAGAAGGAAAAAAACATACTTTACTTTTAATGTAAGTCAATGGAACCAGACTTTTTTACAAGTAATTCTGGGCTGTTTCTCTTGGTCATCTTGAAATTTACACACACTATAAAGGACAGTAGGTATTTTCAAATTATGTCAAAAACTAAAAAACATCAAAAATGGAGATACAAGGTTTTGGTCCAACAGCAGCGATAAACAAGTCTATTTGAGATTTCTTAACTCAATGCAGTGGCAAGTGTGTGATGATTCATGCATGCAATTTGTAAAATGCTAACCTGGTAGGATAAACGCTTCTTCACTTGTTAGCTACAATAGCCTCATAGTTTCAGTCCACACCAAAAAAAGCAATATTCAGATACCAATTATGTCTTGGCAGATCTACATTTGGGTTTAGGGGAAGATTTTTTACTGTCATTTTTCACAAGCTTCTTGTTGGACTCTTAATTTTTTTTAAATAACCTTGGATAGCTTATTCAGTGTTGAAAAAAATGTAATTGAATGCTGACTTTCTGATTCTAGGAAGTCGAGGACATCAACCGATGGGGTTTAGATATCTTTAAAATAGCAGAGCATTCAGGAAATCGGCCACTGACGGTTATTATGTACACAGTTTTTCAGGTATGGAATTTTGTCATGAAGTTGTCCTCTGTGCTTCCTGTCTTGTTGGTGGACTATTTTTGCTTATTTTACACCTGTTTTCATCTCTTTTCAAGGAACGAGACCTGCTGAAGTCATTTAAGATCCCAACAGACACATTCATTACCTTCATGATGACTCTAGAGGACCACTACCATGCTGACGTCGCCTACCACAACAACATCCATGCTGCTGATGTAGTGCAGTCCACTCATGTGCTGCTCTCCTCACCTGCTCTAGAGGTGCTTTACTGTTCTGTCAAGATAAGGCTACGATTTCAGACATGAATAGTGACCACGTAAGATTTGTTTTTAAATTTGTTTTTTTTATTTCAGGCCGTCTTCACTGACCTCGAAATTATGGCTGCTCTGTTTGCTAGTGCCATACATGATGTTGATCACCCTGGAGTGTCCAACCAGTTCCTCATAAACACAAGTATGTTTATTTGTATTTATTGAGAAATCTTTCTCTGATTTTTCACCATTTCTGCATAATTCAGTCAAGATGTAAAGAAAGTCATTCAGAGTGGTTTGATGTGAAATGGTTAGCAGTAGTGGTGACAGGAACCGGGGGCAATGTCTTCAACACAAATATAGCCGTTTTATTTACTTTCCAAAAAGCACCAGTGACCCTACATGTGTCTTATGAGTTTTATATATAATGTTGATGATGGTACAGTAGTGGTAAATCTGAAAACATACATTTTCTTCGGGGTTCTATTGTGCCATGCAACATCCTGCAATTACCTCTCTGCCATGAATGTATTTTTAAAAATACATGTTAGGCCAAAACCTTGATTTCAAAACTATTCTGAAACAATGTCTCAGGCATCAGTGACTATATAACCATCCATGTATAACTTTCTATGGAGGAGCTTTTAGATGTATTGAATACCTTGATGTATTGGAATATCACCACTGTTAATTCTGTTAATTCTAGTTTCTTTAGAATGACGCATTTCACATCAAACCAGTCCGAATGACTTTCACATTAACAATTTAATCAAAAGAAGATTTTTAAAAAACTGTGAAATGCCCCCTTAAGCAAGACCCTATGCAATGAGCAAGTATTGTAATGTCAGATTAGATTTGAGTGAGTTCAGTTTAATTGTACAAATTCTAGGCCCACTTTTTTGTGCGCTGGGAAAGACTTCTTGGTCTATAGTTACTAAGGCTGCACACTATAGGTTGTTAATTGTTATTGTGATATTGGTCTTTGCGATACTGATACTGCAGAGTGCTGCAGTATGCATTGAGCCCACTAACTAATCTCAATGTTTTTTACTGTGTGATGCGAGTAGCTTGATCAGTCATAGTTCCGGATGAGTGTTTCTGTTCGTGCTATGTTGAATCAAGGTGTGATTCAACAAAAGTAAAAGAGTCAAAATAACCCAGCCAGTGTCACATTGATTCACCAATGCACGTTTAATTTATATTGCAAGGCGTATCACAGTCTCTATATGTAGCTGTATACTTGCAAGACTAGTATTTTGTACATATGGTGCAGCCCTATTCATATAAGTGTTTATAAGCAAAAAGGACTGACGGAACTATAATCAAATTCTTCTGGTATGCAAATTCATTCTAAGCAACTTAATCTCCCCATCAGATTCTGAGCTGGCTCTGATGTACAATGATGCATCTGTGTTGGAGAACCACCACCTGGCTGTGGGCTTCAAACTAGTACAGGAGGAAAACTGTGACATCTTCCAGAATCTTAGTAAGAAGCAGCGGCAGTCACTGCGCAAGATGGTCATTGACATGGTGAGACACGGATTCTAACCTACAGAAAGTTCATAAGGGCGAACCGTTCTTATCGCTTAGTCCATTTTTCTAATCTGATCGTGCCAGAAAATGTACAAGAAACAAACCTTATTTTTAATGCAGGTGTTAGCGACAGATATGTCCAAACACATGAACATCCTGGCAGACCTGAAGACCATGGTCGAGACCAAGAAAGTGACGAGTCTCGGAGTGTTGTTGCTGGACAACTACTCAGATAGAATACAGGTCAGATTTGCGGTTTTGGCCTTACCGATTATGAGGTAGCAAGGTAACCTTTTTGCATTCTTTGAAACTCAGTCATCTCTGTACCATTTTATGGCTTTAGGTTCTCCAGAACATGGTCCACTGTGCTGACCTCAGCAACCCCACCAAGCCTCTGGAGATCTACCGGCAATGGACTGACCGCATCATGGTGGAGTATTTCACGCAGGGTGACCGAGAGCGAGACAGAGGGATGGAGATCAGCCCCATGTGTGACAAACACACTGCCTCAGTGGAGAAGTCTCAGGTATAAGATGACTGTTTAATAGTCTATCATCTGTTGATCATCTAGGTCCTCTACAATGAAATGATTTTGATTCGTTCATTCATGTTAACATTGTTCACATACGGAATTGTGCAACTTTTGAATTCATCATGGATTTAATGTCACAACCAAGAACACTTAAATGACTGTCCATCAGAGAGGAGGTGTTTTTTTTCAGTGTCCTTGAGGATTTCAGTTTGTCCCTTACATTTCAACCTAGATGGCTTTTTAAAATAGTCTTAAAAGAGGGCAGCGAAAGCAAAACAAAAAAAGATTATTTACATTTAAATGCTTTACACAGCAACAACGCATCCTACAATCTTAGTACTGCAGGGTCAGATCTGACCTCAGGACAAGAATACATGTCTGCTGAGAACTTGTTAAACCTTTAGTGCTGGATTGTGGTAAAATCCGCTGGTAACAAGGTTACACCCTCTTTAAAACCTGCCCCTGAATCCCTGTAGTCCGTTCTTAACGGTAACACCAGCAAAGCAAGCTAACGAAACGCTGTTGTTTGTTGTTGGAACAGTTTTTCCTTTGCAAAAGGTGAGAAATTTATTTTTTCTGTATATAAAGGCATTGATTTTCATCACCTGTCTCAAAGTTTGCACTTGCGGTTTTGTATACTTGAATTTGTGTTCGTGAGCTTTCTGGTAAGTATGCAAGTGTGTCCTACTTCTCATAGTTCGTGAGACCACACTAAACACACACAAAATGCACGCTTTCAACCTTGAAGACCACATTAAAGCAGTATTGAGCGGTATATATCCCACAGTTCAATGCGTTGGTGACATACTTACAGGCTTTTTCATAAATATCGAGGAACGTTGGCAACTGCCTGTCCCACAAAGATGTGAACCATGTGGTCTCAAACTCGGAAATACGTTAGTGTGCACTTAAGCAAAACCACAAACCACAAATGTGGACTTCGGGACAGGCCAAGTGTTGATGAGCGCACCATCTCTCCCAACTTTGAGCTCCGCATTTACGAGGCATCGGATCACTTTAGAAATCTCACACTGATTTTGTTCCCACCCACATTTAGCCTAACATTTCCTCTTTATTGTCCCTGGACACTCTTGTTACAGCATCATGTCTGTTCCCACAAATCTATTAAAATGTAGAACCTTTAATGAGATATATTTAACTGCAGTGCTAGTTATCCTGGCTTTGCCTGCAAACTAATCTCTGTGCACCTCTGTTTGTAGGTGGGCTTCATCGACTACATTGTGCATCCTTTGTGGGAGACGTGGGCTGACCTAGTTCACCCTGATGCTCAGGACATTCTGGACACGCTAGAGGACAACAGGGAGTGGTACCAGAGCATGATCCCCCGCAGCCCCTCACCTGCGCCCGAGGAGCAGGACTCGCAGGGCAGCGGCAGCGGCTCTCTGGGTGCCGGAGGAGCCGGAGGAGAAAAGTTCCAGTTCGAGCTGACGCTAGAGGAGGAGGGCGAGTCGGACGCTGAAAGCCCGTCAGCGGCAGAAAGCTCCAGAAACCCAATGGACAGCCTTCATCGAGCCCCATCACCAAATCCCAGCCACACACTCGGCCTGGCCGCCATGTCTGTGCGAAGCCCGCGCCACAGGACGTTATCTCCTGACACAGCGGACAGGGACTGCAGCAGAGAACTTGACTAAGAGACTAAAGGCTAAACCAGTTAGTGACTAGGCACGTAGCATGGCCTGAAACCAGCACTGCTGTCCTCATTACGAGTCTCAGAAATGACACGCTCCAAATCTGTGATGAGCCCATTGTGGCTTTAGCTGCCTCCTAGTGAACAACAACACATACCACACCAGAGACAACTCCTCATTTCAGTTTCTCCTTTATAACCAGTTACACACATTTTTTTCCCCCACCAAATAAGCCTTTTTAGTCCTGTTTTCTTAAGATGCAGTCATGTCTAGGACACAGGCCTCTCTATAGACCCAACTCGACCATGCTGTGACTGAGAGACTGATGACAGAACTGAAGATGAAGCAGCCTCTTTATGGTCTACTAACGAAATTAAGGAGCCCTTCTGAGAAAGAGAGTCTTCCTTCAAACGATGCACATGGTGTCTGTAGAGGAAAGTCCATGTAATATTTGTGGTAACCTTACAGGGTCTAGGAACTTTTGCACCGTACGGTTAGTTTAGGATATTTAGGATATTCATTTATCTTGTGAATAATTAATTTAGCACTCTGTATTTTCAATATTTTTAGCCGCTTGGAAGTGATCAGATGAATGAGCAGTGACGGTCATACCAAATATGAAATAGGAAAGAGACAAAATTATGACACTAATAACCTCAGGACATAATAATGATTTCATTTTAATGTAGCAAGGTACCCCTGTATGTTACCCAGGGTGACTTTTTTATTGCACCCAACATAAAGATGTAACATTTTAGTAAATGAAAGAATTCAAACTTCAAAAATGTCAATGTTACATTTGTAAAATTTACTCATTTCATTTGTGAATACTTAATATATCTTGAAATTGTGTAATATGTTGTTCCATTTGAAATCAGTTGAGATGGTAAATGTCAAGACACATGGTCACTGATTTTAGAGCCACTGCGAAAGAGAGTACAAAAGTGATGCCAGAGACGCTGGTTGAGATATTTAATTTTATTTAGTTATTTATTTATTTATTTAGGTTGAGAATGTTCATGGTGTCTAAAGTAAAATGTAAGTCCCAGACAGCCATTTTCATGGGTTATTTAACTCCTAACTCATAATATAGTTGTAGTAAGGCAGAATCCACTAATAACAGCCAGGAATCTGCATATTAATTTTACATTTTTTATACTAAATAATTGATTTTCTAACAGGACAGCCCTCTCTAACTTGGCTAGAACCATGTTTGAGCAGAATTGGAAAGTCTGATACATCCTGTGAAGGTGCAGTTTGATGTTCTTGAGCTTTGTTTTGAGGTTTTAGTTGTTTTTAGGCTTCCCTTTGACTATTCCGATGTGATGTTTGTCTCATTCTTTCTGTTATGAAAGTTTTGAGAAATACAATCTGAAAACAAGCTAGCTAATGTGGGTGCAAAACGTACATTTTGTTTGCAGACAATGAATATTTTCACCACAAACAGAGTCTCTGATATAATTCTGTACCTTCTGATGCAGTGACTCATGCAGGACTGTAGGTGGAATTAGCTGGAATTAAAGCCTCCACTGTTCTAGATTTCACACTCTGTGACCCAATAGACACCTAATAACAAATCTATGAATGATGATGAATCTTTTATGTATAGCTGGGATCAATATCCAGGGGTACCAGTACGTGTCATTTTCTGAATCTATAACACCACTTACACTCATGTTTATATGGTTTGTTTTTATTATTATTATTTTACCTAATGTTCAGTTTTGCAGATGAAATTTACACTGAAGAAAAAGATGTACGGAATTTACTTTTAAATGTGTGCATCATTTCCGCATGACTAAATATATTACGTCAACACATTTGTTTTCTTTCAGTTACTTCACTTACTTTTTGCAATAATTGGGATGATGTAATATACTTTATTGATGAGAAAATGATGTACACATTTGAATCAAGTATAATCAATGCATTACATTTTTCAGTATATTGTTGACAAAACTGCCTCCACTGAGTGTTGGCCTCGGTTATGTGTTTTCAGGCGGTGGCCTATGATTTTGATAAGAGAGAGCAGCTTGTTTGTTTTTCTTAATTTTTTAGGACTACTTTAGGAATCTGATCCACAGCGCTTCTAAAGGGCTAGAGACAAACCAGGATGTAAGAAAAGAGCTGACTGAATGCCTCTCCCCGCTGTCCAGTGATATCTCCTCTTTCACTCAAGTTTAACAATGTTTTTTTATTATTATTATTATTATTTATTTATTTTGGAATTAACTACACACAGTAGGTACAGATTCATATTTTATATAGACAGACTGATTCCATTAACTGGCTCTAATTCTGCAAAGTAAAAAGAAACAAAAATAGCAAATTATTATAATATAGATAGAAGGTCTGAAAATGTTTTGGTAAAATGTTTCTATTGCTTTCCATCATTTAGGCTTTATGTGGCTGCTTTTTATTTCTTAATCAAAAAAAAACTTAAGCAGAACTTATACTTATTTAAACTTATTTCTTAAGCAGAAAAAAACATTGTATTTTTACAATATTAATACAGGAAACACTAAAAGCACTGTTTAACACAGAGCAATGACAGTTTCACTGCTGTTCTTCTCTCAGATAAGACATCATTCAGTGAGGTCCGCTGGACGCACAGCCTTAAACCTGCACAGTGGGAGAGAGCTTCAGCAAAGGTTATAACACACCTTATGAAACAGCACATAGGCTACGCCGCATCTCTAGTACGTTTCTTATGTCACTTTTTCTGTCTTTTCATCTTTACTGATGTGCCAAGCGTGCTATTTATTCCTAGTGCCGATAATGTCAAACCAAGGCCTGTTCCTGTTCCTGTTCTGTTCATTCGTCAAGGAAATTGTGTCTTTTGATCCACGGAGCTCGAGTGCTCTTTCAGATAAAGGTGTTTTGCCACTCCTGTGCGTGTCTGCGTGTACCTCTTCATTTGCCACTTTTCAAAGCCAAAACCTCCAGATTAATTCAGGTTGCTCTCTAGAAACCAATGTCAATAAAGTTACTCGGAAAGCTGTCTGTGTGTGGTTTTGTAAATAGCAATTTAACTTATAGTATTTACTAATACTAGTAAAATGAAATTTGACGTAAAAATTCATTTTAACATTTAAAAAAGTAATAGGACTAGCATGCATTTTTAGGAGGGTACTTTCAGAATACTTACCCACTGAATTAAATGCACAAAATTTTCAAAGGAAACACCATCAATGTTTGTTTATGAACTATTTTAAAATCAGTGCACAGCTTGAAGCAAACATGCTTGTTAGACAAGTTCTGAAGAGGACTTTAATTAATGGCCTTTACAAGCAATGAAGTTACTACTAAAGCCTGAGTAGACTGATGAATCAATGTGATCAGTTATTAATCTCAGTGTTACTGAGCTCTGCTAAAGCCTGAGTAGACTGATAAATCAATGTGATCAGTTATTAATCTCAGTGTTACTGAGCTCTGCTAAAGCCTGAGTAGACTGATAAATCAATGTGATGATCAGTTAGTAATCTCAGTGTTACTGAGCTCTGCTAAAGCCTGAGTAGACTGATAAATCAATGTGACGATCAGTTATTAATCTCAGTGTTACTGAGCTCTGCTAAAGCCTGAGTAGACTGATAAATCAATGTGACGATCAGTTATTAATCTCAGTGTTACTGAGCTCTGATAAAGCCTGAGTAGACTGATAAATCAATGTGACGATCAGTTATTAATCTCAGTGTTACTGAGCTCTGATAAAGCCTGAGTAGACTGATAAATCAATGTGACGATCAGTTATTAATCTCAGTGTTACTGAGCTCTGATAAAGCCTGAGTAGACTGATAAATCAATGTGATGATCAGTTATTAATCTCAGTGTTACTGAGCTCTTAAAGGAATGCTTAAACTTATAATCTCGGTAGTGGACATGTTTGTGAGTGAAAGGTTTAACATCAGTGTTGTACTGGCCATCTGCTCAAGGGATTGTGTGAGCAGCAGTGGACTTAAGCACTCTGCTGAAAAAGCCATAGAAACCAGTAAGTAGTTTCTGTTGATTCCTAAAGATTTTGTAATATGTATTGGCTTTTTAATGGGTTGATATCACAATGTAATGGTTTAACAGGTGGCCAGTGGCTTATTCTAAATGCCTTTGATGGTTTCCTAAATGAAAAACAACACACACACACACACACACACACACACATACATACATACACACATATATATATATATGTATATGTATATATATATATATATATATATATATATATATATGTATGTATGTATGTATATATATATATATATATATATATATATATATATATATATATATATATATATATATATATATGTATATGTGTGTGTGTATATATATAAACCAGTAACAGTATGAATTAAGTAAATCTAAATAAATTAATTACAACAAAAAATCCCATCTGGCTTACCAAGATGTGTTCTAAATATATTCTGATATATTCTTATGGTACTTTTTATGTATTGTAACAGAATACATTACTGAATACATTTAGGACAGCGTATTACATTTTTAGCCATCACTACTTTCTCGAATTATTGTGCCCAACCTTGTTTGTTAAATGTGCACATGTGAAATTTCATCTGTTTGCCTATCACATTTTCACTTGTTGAAACTTGAGATAACAATCTGTTTAAAAAGGATGAAAAGTTTGTTTTAGGTAGGTTAAAACCACAAGGCCACCTTTTAAGGGCTGCATTTTGTGGTAAATGTGGTCCAAATGTGCCACCCAATGACAAACTCAACACTGGGTGGCGCTGAAAGTTCACAAGTCCTACGTTTCTCGTTTTATCCGTCATCTGGAAATTTGGTTCACAATTCCAAAAAAAGACCACAAGTAATTTTTCAAATGTCATAGTCATGGAAAAGAAGGTGAGAAATAGCGAGAGAGAAAGTGAGAGAGAGACTTCGATTCTATCACACACAGGCGGGTTAAAGATTAAACTGTGTCCACACTGAGATGCACTGAAGTCCCCGTTCAGATATGCAGGTATGCAGTAAAGCTTTATCATTAACCCGAGCATGGCTTTTTCTCAGAGCCCTCACGTCCGTGTCACCCACGAAACAGTCAACAGATGATTTCCTGCGACTGTTTTAACTGATGAATTATACAAGGGCTCCAACGAGGATGCTATATTATGCATGACTAGCCCAGCGGTGTTCGCGCTGTCTGAGCGTTTCACTGCGCTGAGAGAGCCGTGCCTCTTCGCGATTGGCTCTCCGACTCGCCGACCACGCCTCTCGCCGCCCGTGACTCCGCCCGCTGGCTGCGTCACACGCCCGTCAAGTGACGTCGAAGCTTCTGCAGGTGCTGGAAGAGGCGCAGCGTTGGCGTAATTCACGCGTTAAAACATCTCCAGCGGTAAGGCAAAGCCTCAATATCTCAATGTTATTTTCACATTATTCGTACGTTGGGACGTTTGCATATCGTGAGCATGTCGTTGACGGTCAGAGCCGAGTCAGTTCACGCTTTAACAGAAGGAATAACCTTCATTTGACATGAAGAGAGAAGCATCCTTTGGGTTCTGTGTACCCTGTATTAATATGGGCTGTTGCTGTGGTGGTTGTCCGTCTGCATGTTCCTCAGTGTGTGTTTTGTAGTGTGCAGTCACAGAATTTGACTGTTTGTACTGAAAAACATGCAAAAAGAACGTTTGTCGTTTGCCATATGTTTTCTCGCTTGCCGTTACGTAAGATGGCACCCGGGTTTCGATGTACAGTATTCCATAATTTCCTTAATTAAACCGGGAATGCTGCGCTGTGTGTATGTGTACGTGTGCGGTAAGGTTAAGGCATCCTGCCTGGCCCAGATGAAGATTACGTGGAGCGACCCCCAACCGCCATCATCCGCCCTAACAGCTCCATTTTCAAACGCACAGCAAATGCAGCTCACACTGCAAACAGCGTTTCTGTGATGTCTGAGTAGAGTTGCCTTTGCCTGGCTGCTTGCTGTGGGCTGTGTTGGCTTTCTTTCCTCCTCAAGGCCTCAACCATAGTAATACAGCCCTAAAGGTTTAAATAATACAGCAGCCAGTAGCTGGTTATGGCACATCAGCGTCCTCGAGGCCAGATCATAGATTTGGTTTTGCAAGCTCCTGGATTGAGGACGTTTTTGACCTTCTATACACTCTGAAAAAGATGGTCCTTCAAGGCAGTGTGTCTATATAGAATCATGAGTTCTGTGAATAACCATTTGCATGCTTAAATGGTTCTTTGTGTGCTATTTAGAACCATTTTCAAAAAGGTTCTTTGTAGAACCATCTACAACACATTCTCCATCAGTCTGAAGAACAATTTCACCACGCAAAGAACCATGTAAGCATGCAAATGGTTATGGTCCTATATAGAAGCATTCCCTGTACTACACTCTTTAAAAAGATGGTTCTTTAAGGGTTACTTAGTAATGAAAATGGTTCCGTATAGAATCATGAACAATTTTCATGATTGAAAGGTTCTTTGCATCATGAAAAGGTTCTTTAGATTGATGGAAAATATTCATGAATATGCAATAGATAGTTCTATATAAAGCCTTTTAAAGGCAGTGTTTCTATACAGAATCATGAGTTCTATGTATATCCATTTGCATGCTTAAATGGTTCTTTGCATGGTAAAATGGATCTTCAGATTGATAGAGAATAAGTTGTACATGGGTCTGCTGTAAGCTTGTAACAACAGAAGAACGCTTTTTGGCGCTATATAGAACCATTTTCAAAAAGGTTCTATATAGAACCATATACAACACATTCTTCATCAGTCTGAAGAACATTTTCACCATGCAAATAACCATTTAAGCATGAAATGGTTCTATCTAAACCCATTCCTTTTACTACACTATTTAAAAAGGTGGTTTTGAAAGGGGTTCTACTTAGCACCCAAAAGGGTTCTTCTGCTGTTACAAGCTTGACATTTGGGTGCTATGTAGAACCATTTTCAAAAAGGTTCTATATAGAACCATCTGAAGCACATTCTCCATCAGTCTGGAGAACAATTTCACCGTGCAAAGAACCATTTAAACATGTAATGCTTCTATATAGAACCGTTCCTTTTACAACACTCTTAAAAAAGTTGGTTCTTCAAGGGTTCCTTTGTAAAGAAAATGGTACTATATAGAAGCATGAACACTCAAAGAATCCTTTGCATGATTAAAGGGTTCTTTGCATCATGAGAAGTTTCTTTAGATTGATGGAAAATATGCATGAATGTGCTATAGATGGTTCTAAGTAGAACCTTCTTGAAAGAGGTCTGCGTAGCACCCAAAATGGTTCTTTTGTTGTTACAAGCTTGACATCGTGACAATAAAAGAACCCTTTTGAGTGCTATATAAAAACGTTCTATACAGAACCATCTAAAGCACATTCTCCATTAATCTGGAAAACCTTTTGGTGAATCAAAGACCCCTTAATCATGCAAAGGGTTATTTGTGTTCATGGTTCTATATAGTCTCATTTTCTTTACTAAGGAACCCTTGAAGAACCATCTTTTTTTAAAGGTTGTATGTGACAGAATACTTGCTAGGATAACCTTAACCTCTTAAAACCCCAGGCGTATTACATACTAAGGCTTATTATTCAGTAATTACATTGAACTACAATACAAACTAGCTGAGCTATTCTTAGGTTATAGAAGTGTGTAATAAAACTTTGGGCCTGTTGGTGGACCCTGGCCATTTAGGGTGAAAGACATGCTCCTGTATTTTTTAAGCTAATCTCTTTGTACCATATCTGTGTCGTACAGTCACTGCAGAGCATGATTTCTCTGTACTTACAGCAGAAGCCGGTGTGCAGATGCTTCTGTTCTTTTACTAAGAACAGAGAAAAGCATCAGAATGATTGGATGTGGTAATCGACTGTACAGTACAAATGCAGCACTGCTGGACAGCAACTCTGAGCACTGCTAAACCAACAAGAGTTAATACAGTCAGCTCCAAAATTATTTACACCCTTGGTAAAGATGGGTAAAGAATGTCTTGTGTTGGGTTTGGCATAAAAGAGAATAGTTGTACAGAAAAGAGCCCCATCTCTACTGTGAAGTTGGAGGATCTGCAATGTTTTGGAGCTGTTTTTCCTCCAAAGGCCCTCAGAACCTTAGTAGGAAACATGGCATCATAGCCCCTATAAGGTACCAGGAGATATTCAATGAAATCTGTCTGCCTCCTCTTAACAGCTAAAGCTTGGTTGTGCTTTGTGGATGTCCAGCAGGACAGTGATCCAAAACATACATCCAAATCTGCATAAAAATGGGTTATTGATTGCAGAATCAATCAGACGTGAACATCCCAGCTCCTGATCTAAACCTCACTGAAAACCTGAGGGGTAAGCTGAAGAGCAAAAGAGAGGACCTAAGACCCTGGAGAACCTAGGGAGGTTCCTTGCCCTCTCATCAAGCTTTATAGGAGAAGGCTCACTGAGCCTCATTCACCAACCGTTCTTAAGAAGAAATTTCTTCTTAAAACCCACTTATGAAATTTTTTATGAAGATTCTGAAATTCACTGATGTTTACTTGTTTGGATTTGTTCTTAGGTAAGAACAGAATCTACACACAGTCAAGAGCACAAAGATGAGAACAGTGCTGTGGTTTAAGAACACGTCATGAATCTGATGTAGACTTCTTCGTAGGACCTTTCTCACAAACACATTTAAGAAAAAACCTAGAACGATATTGGTGAATGAGACCCAGTGTTATTATGTTGGCATAGAAGGGTTGCACATTTTAACCAGCATATTTGAGTGTATGGCTTTTATTTGCGGAGAGGTACTAATAATTATGACACGTGATTTTGTTGAAAGAATAATAACGACGTGGTTTTGTTAATAAAAAGATTTCTTGATTTTTTTTTTCACTTCAGCTAAAGGTTATATTTTCTCCTATTTTCTCATATTATAGTGTGAGATTGAGCTAATTAACCACAAAGACATTTCGTGACCTTTTTTACATATGTTTATCAAGCGTGCCAGTAATTATGGAGCTGACTGTAAGGTAAATTTCCTAGAGGTACGAGACCTTCCCAGAGTAATACAGGTTTAAGCTCAGTGCTTTCACCATGTACGTAATATGAAAGGTGTAATTATTCACAAATGTTAAGCTAAGCTGCGATCATGAGGTCAGAGTTTGAGTTTCAATATTTGATGAGTTAAAAGTGTATTGATTCTGTAGAGCTACAAATATATCACACAGATTGATTTAGCTCAGAAAAATAAATGAGAATATTCCAGTACAAAAGATTGCAATGTATCAGGTCCTTGTGCCAAATAGTGATCTTTAAAGCAACATAACCAAGCTATAAACAATAGAACAGATATGATGCATCCAGATGCCAGGTGTTTGATCATTGACAGTGCTTTCCCAGAAAGAGAGCAAATGAGCGACCCCTCAGAAGAGGCAGAGGGGCTCATCTGTAATGCAGGTTTAAATTTCAGTATGTTTCAGCATTCATTTTTTAGATTTTTCAATACTGTATTGAGATGATTGCATCCTTATATAATGTGAAATAAACAGCCTTTCATAGCACACAGCTGTGGAAAGCTACTTCTTCGTGCTGAACCCCCCTTTTGCAATATGCACTACGACACTAAAGATCCTCATCCCTGAAGGAATAGTGTTTCTCTGCAGCAGCGTTTTGTCTCACTGATAAAGTCACTGGCTCCACATTGTGCGCACCTAAAAGTGATGTTCTATTTTTAGGGTGCCCAGGCCCTCTGTTATCTGGAGAAACGTTGAAACGTTGAAGCACTCCAGGACACTTTGGTGTTGTACAGAGCTTTCCAGCATACCAGCGCATACCAATAATTTTTGGTTAAGCAGTTAAGTAATGTATCGGTTAGGGAGATAATATGGAAGACCTTTATTTACAACAACAGTCTGTTTGAAGATGGATTAAGATGTGTTAAGAAATCTTCATCAGGAGCAATATAGCTTGCCATCCTCAATGCATTACACAGGTTCAGGTATGTCCTACTTAACCTGTAGACACCCTGCTCAGATTCTGAATGAGCGCAGCGTCGTGCTCCACTTTACCTTAGCCACATGCTGCTCAGGTTTCTTTGAAACTCAATAGGGTACTGGATGCCTAGCTGACCACCAGCATCTCTGTCCAGAAATAATAGGTTACAGAATGTCGACACAGATGTCGTTCTGTTTAGTGGGTATTTCGAGCTATAAATCACGTATTACAAGATGTATATGTGATTAGTTGAAGTTTGCAGTGACTGTATTTCATTTCTACTAGATGTAAGTTCTTTTATTTCCTGCATGTGCTCATAAAAGGTAAATGTAGGTGCTTTGAGATGAAGCCATAACCCATTCAGCAAAGGCAGTTTTTATGGGGAATACTCAGTTTAAAAAATGTTATTTTTGAAAAAAAA